TGGGTGTTTTACCTCATAAGTCCTGAGCTAGCTCTCTGTTGATGCTTAACAATATTCTCACAAGCATGTCAAGTTAAACAATACATTTAGTTCATCATAGTTTGTCAAAGAAATCTGGGATGGGGTGGACTGAGAAGGCTTGGTGGTTAAAAGTACTTTTTGCTCTTGCAGAGGACCGGGGTTCAATTCCCAGAACCCACATGGTGGCTCATAAACACCTGTGGCTGTAGTTCCAGGGGTGCCCAGTGCCCTCATGTGACCTCCACAGGTACCAGGCATGCACATGGTACACATGTGTACACACAAGCAAAAGCCCCTACACATAAAATGAATACATCTAAAAGTAAAGAGGAGGAGGACAGAAATCGGGGTTGGGTGTTTTGCAAGGCTATAACTAAAATATCACTGAAGTCCTAGCCAAAGAGCCACTGGGGAAAGAGAAGTTTCTAAGCTTAGGGCAGCATGGGCAGAAATCAGTACAAGCTTGTAAGCTTTTGTTTTCTTTCTCCCCTCGAGCCTTGGTTCCTTTGAGACAGAGTCTTTCCACGTTGCTCTGGCTTTTCTGGAACTCTCTGTGTAGACCAGCCTGGCTTCAGACTCACAGAGATCCGCCTGCCTCTGCCTCTGCCTCCTCTGCCTCCTCCGCCTCCTCCGCCTCCTCCGCCTCCTCCGCCTCCTCCGCCTCCTCCGCCTCCTCTGCCTCCTCAGCCTCCTCCGCCTCCGCCTCCGCCTCTGCTGGGATTAAAGGCCTCGCCTCCGCCTCCGCCTCCGCCTCTGCTGGGATTAAAGGCGTGCACCGCCACCTGGCTTTAGCTGTCTTTTTCTAACCCCGCACTCTGGGCCTGTTTCTTGTCAGGGGTTAGCTTTAATTATGTTTTGCTTTAAGACAGGGTCTCATTTAGCCGTCCTTGAGTTCACTGTGTAGAACTTCTGAGTCTTCCCAAGTGCCAGCTGGGATTATTGGTGTTGCCACACTGGCTGTCTAGTGGTGTTCTTGTATCTCGCCACAGGGTCTTCTCACTCAGAAGCAGCTTGTTTTTGTAAAGCCTAGCAAAATGATCTTTAAGTCTAACGAGTAACACAATCACCTTTTGGACATTCTTTATGTTTTTTATTTTTATTTATTTATTTATTTATTTATTTTGGTTTTTCAAGACAGGGTTTCTCTGTGGCTTTGGAGGCTGTCCTGGAACTAGCTCTTGTAGACCAGGCTGGCCTCGAACTCACAGAGATTCACCTGCCTCTGCCTCCCAAGTGCTGGGATTAAAGGCGTGCGCCACCAACGCCTGGCCTTTTGGACATTCTTATTAGTTATCAAGTCCCAGGTCCCTCCCCGGTATGGGATGGGACTATAAATGTCAGAAGAGAACAAAAGGATTTGGGGCACACGTAGAGTTGTCTTCAAAGATCCTCATTAGATACTAGACCATGGGGAACTGAAATATCCCTTCTTGCAGTCGAAGGATGCCCACTTCATGGGTGCACACCCTGTCTCGGAAAAAACAACAACAACAAAAAGTTGTTTATAGGGCTTAGAGATTAAGAGCACTGGCTGCTCTTCCAGAGGTCCTGAGTTCAATTCCCAGCAACCACATAGTGGCTTACAACCATCCATAATGAGATCTGGTGCCCTCTTCTGGTGTCCAAGCATATATGTAGGCAGATCACTGCATCTAAAATAAATAAATAAATAAATGTGTGTGCTATAATTTAAAAAAAGTTGCTTATAGTGAGGCAGTGGTGGCACACACCATTAATCCCAGCACTCGGCAGAGGCAGGCAGATCTCTGTGAGTTTGAGGTCAGCCTGGTCTACAGAGCAAGTTTCAGGACAACCAGGGCCACACAGAGAGACCCTGTGTCTAAAAACCAAAAGCTAAAACCCAGCATTCTTTACATACTTTATTTAGTGTGTGTGCATGCTATTACATGCAGCAGTCAGACAACTCTCAGCACCCTGTCAGGGGCTATGGATTCAGGTGGTTAGGCCTGTGCAGGCCTCTGTTTAGTGAGCCATCTTGCCTGCCTAAACTTAGCTCCTTACTGTGTGGCTAAGTTGCCTAACTTCTCATGACTCCATTTTCTCATCTCTAACATGGAAATCACCTAAGTGCAGGGTACTGAAGGAACCAAAGAGCTGGATGCCATGGTCTAGAGAGAACTGGGTTGAATCTTGCGGATAGCAGGGGAGTCTAAGCAGGCCTTGTCAGTTCCTATGAGGTGGTGGAACTGAGTGAGGACGGCTGTGGGCAGCTCACATCCCTTTAGGGCAAGGGCTGGTCTTAGCCAGGGCCCCTCTCAGTTCACAAAGGATGTGGGAGTTAGCCTGTGGGCAGGAGGGAATCCAGCGGTGTGGGAACAAGACTTTCCCACATAAGGATGGGTGGGTGAGAGTATTTAGCCTCTGGGAGCAAATAGAAGAATCCAGAAGGGAGGGGTCCCTAGATACAGCCACTCCAAAGAGCTGACAAAGACGGAACTTTGATGAAATAATCTTTTATAATAGCATGATGGCTGTTTGGTGTTTGTTTTTAAGATTTATTTTTATTTTATGTGCATTGATATTTTGCTTGTATGTATGTGTGAGGACATCAGATCCTCTGGAACTGGGCTTACAGGCTGTGGTTGAGCTACCATGTGGGTGCTGGGAATTGAACCCTGGTTCTCTAGAAGATCAGCCAGAGCTCTTAACTGCTGAGCCATTTCTCCAGCCCATGTGAGTTTGTTTTTGAGACATGGTCACTGTAAGTGACAAATCTCTGGCTGTCCTGGGACTCACTTCGTAGACCAAGTCTGGCCTCGAACTTACAGAGATCCTCTAGCCTTGCCTGAGAGCAGGGATGAAGGCCGCCACAGCTGCTCTTTACTGTTTCCGAAAGAAATCAATCCATAGGGTGATGACGCAGTGTAGCGTGGATGGTGGTGCGGAGACCAGCGGGGACCCACAGGGCTGACCCTCCTACCCTGTACAGCAGGCACAGTTCCGGACTTCCTGACCTCCGGATCATGTCTCTGGAGGCAGCCTCCGGCAGGCAGAACTGCCCCTTTCCCCTGGGCAGGCACCCCTAATCCAGGGCTCTTCCCTTTCAAAGACACCTTCTCAAACTGGTTCCCAGCCTGGAGGCCGCACTATGAACCTCCCTAGAAAACAAAAAGCTTTCAAAATCCGCCACCGTAACTAAAGTAATAGCAAGGACGGTAAGATCACAGGGCACACACCTGAATTCACCTTAGTGTGGTCAGGATCTAGGCACCAAAGCAACTCAGAGTACAGTAGGGACCGAAGGACCTTATGCCTGCCTAAGGTTAATGACCGGAGTCATCTTTACTGGTCACTGTCCTCCCCCTCGCTCCAAGCCAGCTCTCTTCTTCCTGTCATCCCGAGGGTCTCGGAGATCACGAGAGAGATATGCATCCAGTCTGAGTGTGCCCATTCCGTTTTCCACCCACGAGCTGCGGACACACCACGTTCTCCCTCCCGTGTCCCGTGAGCACGCGGATTCCTCCGCCGGTCGCGGGGCATAACCGCAGGGCTGCCACGCGCTGCCCTTCCCTTCCCGGAGGCAGGTGCACCCCCCAACCTCTGTGAGTCCTTGCAACCTCCCCGAGCGGCTCGCAGCGTGACCAGCGCCGTCGCGCAATACTGAGGCGCGCGGGTCACGGTGGCCGCCAACTTTTTGCTCAACCATGGGGCTGAGGCCACAAGCCCTGGGGACAGGGATAGAGGTGGGGGCACAGAGTTATGCATCTGCAGAGAGTTCGGCTCTCGGAGAGGGGACCTGGAGGCTCGGAGCTGTATTCGGAGGCGGCTCCTCCATGCTCCAGTTGAGCCCTGGAAAAACCCCGGCGCGCGAGCAGGCCAGGGACGGCGGGAACAAAGGCGGCCGGGGCCGGATGCAGTCATGGAAAAACCCATCGGGGCGCCGGCGCGGGGGCGGCGCGCCTGGCAGCAGCAGCATCTAGCCGGCCGTTCGGGTGGGGCCGCTCCCAGCCAGAACCACCAAGAGCAAGGGGAGGTCCCGGGAGCGGGAAAAATGCGGGACCGGTCATTGGTCCCCGGGGTCACCACGCTCCGGGTGCCCATAAACACTGCGGGCTCGAGATCGTGTACCCAGCTGGTACATGCGAAATCTTGCACATGGCCTCTGGGCTGGAGGACGGAAGCGCAGCAGCGGGTCGCAGCGACCACGTGGGGGGAGACGCGCACGGACCCCACGCTGGCGCGAGGCGCCTGCACGCGCTCCAGTGCGCACACGATCACTTACACGCACGTGCGCCCAGACACGCGAGCTGCCTACAACTCCCAGGGCAGAAGGAAGGAAACAGTTGGACAGAAAGGGGAGGAAATGGAATAGAGGCTCGTTAGGGCGGGCCCCCATGGCTAGACACTGGAGCCTCAGAGAAGCGGGAGGCGGGGGCTGGGAGGCTTTGAAGAGGCCACTTTCAGGACTGCCCCCCATTTTACAGGTGCTGGCTCCCGGCCTCCCGCGGCCGGACGTGCCCAGTTCCCGCCTCCGGGCTAGAGTTTCCCCTCTCGTGCCGGCCGCTGCCCAGCCTAGTCTCGACTCGTAAATTTAGCTGCAGATCTGGAGAGGTGACGCCCCAAGTTTATTTTTTAATTCCTGTAGAAAAGGAAAGCGTTACTGCTGGATGGACCCATTGACTCCCAACCCTTTTTCAGTTTGAATTTTTTTTTTTAAATGAAGGAGGAACTGAGCTCGGTGGTGGGAGGTGGCGCAGACTCATCTTAGCTCATACATGCACCCTTGTTTATTTGTGCCGCTGCCTGTTGTGGGGTGGGACAAAGCCTGGCCTGGGGAGGCTGCGCTGCGCGCGGGGAGCGGGCTGAAAAGGGTCGTAGACCTGCTCATGGCTGCGGTGGCCTAGAACCTGCTTCTGAGAGCAGAGAATCCCAGACTCTCCCTGTGTCAAACAACCTATGTGGGGAGTGGGTGGGTGGGTGGCGGTGTGGCTCCTGGGAGGCAGAGGATAAAGAACCCAGGGCTTCAAAGCATTTAATTAAAAAATAACTTGGGGTGTCAGAGGCAGGCGGATCTCTGAGATCGAGGCCAGCATGCTCTGCCGAGTGAGTTTCAGGACAGCCAGGGCGGTTACAAAGAGAAACTCTTGTCTCAAACCAGAAAACCAAACAAAGCAAAAACTGAGGTAGGGTCAGAAGTCTGTTATCCCAGACCTTGGGATGCCAGGAGATCAAGGGATTCGAAGCCAGCCAGTGGGAGCCCAGCTTAAGGCGGCAGGAGACCCTTCTCAAAAGAACTCACATGCCCAACCCCCTTCAGACGAATCGAATAACAAAGAAGAGGTAGTTGTCCTGAGGACAGGCTGGGCGAGCACAGCCTGCAAGATTGTCGTGGTTCAATACTACATAAGTAGGCAGGTGCCTACCCGATCCCTCCGGATCCAGCGAATTTGTATTTGTTTGTGATCTTTGAAACTGACCTTGGAATCGATGGCTTTAACGTTGCCTCTCTTAAGCCTCTTGGTGTCACCTAATATTGTGGAGTCTCAAATTACTCATCAGTAAAATGGGTCCAAGGTTTATGGTACTGAAAGTAGTTGCCAATCTCCCTTCACTTCTCAGTGGGGTAGGGACCACTTCTTACTTCCATAGCTGCTCCTCGGTCACTTCTCGAAATCCCAGGGGCCTCTCTTAAATTCTGATTTCCTGTGAAAGGGATGAGAGTATGTGTGTTTGGGAGGGATTGCGGTGTGGTCTGTGGCAGGCAAGACTGGGGGAGTAGCGCCCCCTGCTGGACCATTACAGTAGCGCTTACTCAGTCCCTGAAGACAGGCCCAGGCTAATCTGATGAGCGCCGAGGACCTCATGCGCCAGGCACCGCAGGGCTCCACTGGCCTTGTCCTTAGTGTCTTGGTTTCCTTTCAAGCGGATCAGAAGAATGCTGGCTCCCCACAGCAGAATCTACTCAGCCATCCAACTCCTCAGCCTGTTCCAACTCCAACAGGCCTCTTTTGCCGTGGAGGAATGAGCTAACTTGCTATTTATAAAGGACTTTACAGTTTACAAGGTTGTTGCTTCTGGGCGGGACGTCATTAAGAAGGGATCAATTTGCCTTGCTCAGGGGTGGTTTGGATTCTACCGCCTCCATCCAGCTGTGTAACCAAGGCAGCGTTCAAAACATTGACTAACCAGTAGGACAGGCATCAGCCAATCAGAACAGAGTTTGCCGTAATGGAGAGCGACGCCCAAATCTCTGTGTACCTGCTCAAAGTTCTGGACCAGCGTCAGCCTTATTGATTCTGGCTTCTCTGCCTACTTTATGGGGATTTAGATGGTAACAGTATCACCTTCCAAGGCTTTTGAAGCTTGTATTAGTTAAGGCATGTAATGGCTTGCCAAAGTGGCGAATCTAAAGCACCCAGTAGGGTTTAGCCCAAGTGATTCTGCCTCCTGTGAGTGGTGAGTCACCTAGGAGTCAGACTCGGTGATTGCCACTTTTAAGGGACGGTTGCCAGCTGATTCCACTGTGTGTACTCGAGGCCCACCCCCTGTTTCCCCCACCCCTGCTCCAGGCTGAGCTACATCTCCATATTGCTCCAACCAAATCCCTCTGTGTTTGAGCCTTTCCTCCTGGTTCCGCTCCTGACCCTCTCCTGCCTCGATGATCCCGAGCCCCCTCACTGGCTTCCCACAGCCCATCATCTTTCCCAGATCCATCCCCTGGCGCAGAAGGCCCAGAGCTATCTGGATTCTTGTATCCCTTGTTTCCAAAAGCAGCTGCCCTCCTCTGCTTGCCTGGATACAATAGTTTCCTATTGGCCTGCAGCTTCTGGCCATCTGCCGGTTCCCAGCAGAGTTCATCTCAAACACACAGCCATCAGCGCTCTCCACCTTGGAGGGACATCTTCAGGGCCGCCTTCCACTAAGTGAAGCTATCTCATTTTATCTCAAGATCCTTCTGGTACCTCTGTCATTATCCTCACTTAGTGAGGACACAACAGGGAAGCTTCAAGAGCTAAACAGCTTGATGAGACTCACGGTGTCCCTGGTACAGCCTCCTCGGGTGTTTCTCGGAGTCTTTACCTCCTGCTTTCACTGGGCCATGCTCTGATTTAGCCCTTTGATCTTCCACGTGTCGTGTCCCCCCCCCCCCCGCCTTCCCCCTTGCCTCCTCCCCCCAGCCCGGTTTCAGCTTGGGCTGTATCTTCCTCCAGCTTAGCTCAAGGGCTACCTGCCTTTTGGCCCTGTTCCTATGTCCTGCTGACTGGTAGTTGCTTTCTCTGGAGCTCTCCGAGCTATTCTCCCCTCTAGACTTGCTGCTGCTGCTTTGAGACAGGGTCTCACTATGTAGCCTTGGCTGGCCCAGAACTCACAGAGATCCGTTTGCCTCTGCCTCTCGAGTGCTGGGATTAAAAGCCAGTGTCACCATATCTGGGCTTCAACCTCACTTTATATTAATATCTCTCTTGTTTTTGACCCTGTACTTTGGATGTGAGCTTTCCCTTGATAAGGGACATTGGGGTTACTGTACCCACCTCCCATCTCCCAGTAGGAGTGCTAGAATTACAGATTAAGTCACTTTATTCAGTTGTGGGTTTTTCCCCCCCAAAACAGGGTTTCTCTGTGTAACAGCTCTGTCTGTCCTGGAACTTGCTCTGTAGACTAGGCTGTCCTGGAACTCACAGAGATCTGCCTGCATCTGCCTCCCAAGTGCTGGGATTAAAGGTGTGCGCCACTGCTGCCTGGCCAGCTTTTTTTCATGGGTTCTGGTGGTTGCATTTAGGTTGGCAAATAATTTTACCAGTTCAGCCATCTCTCTGGGCCCCTCCCTTTTTATGTGTATGGGTGTTTTGCCTTGATGCATGTGTCTTTGTACCACATGGGTACCTGATACCCTCTGTGGCATGAAGCATGAAGCCCATGAAGCAAACTGGAGTTACAGATGGTTGAGAACCATCATGAAGGTGTCATAAATTGGACCAGGCCCTGTGGAAAGGCAGCCAGTGCTCTTAACTGCTGACCCATATCCCCAGCCCTTTATTTTATTTTTGAGACAGGGTCTCATTATGATGCTGGTCTAGAACTCACTCTGTAGACTAGGCTGGCTTTGAACTCACAGAGATTCACCTGCCTCTGCCTCCCCAGTGCTGGAATTAAAGGCATGTGCCACCACACCCAGCTTACCTCTGCTTTTCGTTTTTTTTTCTTCCCCCTTTCTGGTGCTGGATCAAATTGAATCCGGGGCCTCCTCCTCATGTAAGCCAGGCGGGTGTTCTACCACAAACCTATATCTTCTGGAAATGCTCCCTAAACCTTAGCAAGCATGGGCGATTCTTGGGAATCTCAATAATTTAGGTATTCTGACCTATTGATCTGGCTGAACACTGGGAGTCTGTTCCCGTTTATCTCCCGGGTAGTGTTAATGGCTGATGTGAAGGCCACACTTTGACAAACAAGGCTCTGGGCTCGCGGAAGCACAAATGTCAGCTGATGGACCCAGAAACATCCACTGAACACCAGACTCAGCACGAGTATGCAGAGACTAAACACGTTCAAGGCTAAGACTAACTGCAGTCAGTGCTCTTAACCTCTGAGCCATCTCTCCAGACCTCTCAGGTAGTTCTTGACCTCCCTCAGAATCTGCTGTGTGGTTCCCACCTCTTTTAGAATCAAAACTGGATTCTTCTAGGCTTCGCATCATCAGTCTCTGCCTCTGTTCTCATCTATTATCAATTCCATCCCACACTTACTTGTGGTAGCCTTAAACCCAGCTCCTTCCTTCCCATCTGAGAGGTTGGTCAGTGTCCACTTGCAAGTGGCCCAGTGCCTAGCCCCTTGTGTGAGCTGCCGAAAGCAGAGACACCTTCTCCGATCTGAAGCAAGCTTGGCCGGGAGCATGTGTTCATAGCAGTGATCAGGTATTCTCTCTTTTATGTTTTTGATTTTTTTTTTTTTTTTTTGGTTTTTCAAGACAGGGTTTCTCTGTAGCTTTGGAGGCTGTCCTGGAACTCACTTTGTAGACCAGGCTGGCCTCGAACTCACAGAGATCCGCCTGCCTCTGCCTCCCGAGTGCTGGGATTAAAGGCGTGAGCCACCAACGCCCGGCTCTTATGTTTTTGATTTTGTTTAGATTTATTTATTTATGTACTTAATGTATATAGGTGTTTTATCTGCAAGTACATTTGCTCACCAGAAGAGGGCATCTGATCCCACGGGACCACAGCTGTAGATGGTTGTGAGTCACCATATGGGTGCTGGGAATTGAACTCAGAACTTCTGGAAGATCAGCCAGTGCTCTTAACCATTGAGCCATCCCTCCAGCCCGTTTGTTTTATTTCTTTAATAGCACTTCCAGGTTTTCTGTTAGTACCTTAGGGCTGTTTTTTACCTGCTTCTCTGCCGGGATGAGCTCCTTCAGGCCAAATGTTTTTGTGTTCTACCATGCTCTGCCATTCCCACTCAGAACAGTTAGTGCTCAGGACTATTAGACCCATTGAGTGAATGGCTGTTACAAGTCAGTAGGCATTTGAAAAGGCCAAGAGGTACCCAGGAGTGTTCCAGGGAGATGTCAGGCTTCAGGAAGGTTACATCGAAGAAAGGGAGGGCAACCAACCCACAGCAGCCTCGTCAGGCTGTGTTTCTGAGGTTGGTTTTCCTAGAAGGCAGGAGAAGGTGGTGGGGACGGACAGAGAAGGAGGAAGCAGACTGTGATACATCTCAAGGACGCCTCAGCCGATGCCGTGGGTGTCTCAGAGCGGGGGTGGTCCTTGATAGTCCTGAACTGAGACTGGTCGCTTCTATACCCATGAGCAGCAGTGGTTGCACACATCCATGAAGGAACATGTGACCCTAGGCAACTTGTTTTCCACAATTACGGTTATCTCCAGAGGGAAGCTGATAGCTGGAGGCCATCTGCCTGTGGCCAGCAGGACTGGGGAGTAAGACCTTCAGTCTTGCAGAGGCTCCAGATAACACAGGACAGTGCGTAGCATGTGGGACTCACCCAGGATGGGCATCCTGGTCAGAGAGTATGCCTGGACAAGAGGAAGACGAGCCCCACCCCCAACTCCAGAGGTGCGGGCAGAAGTCCCAAGGCAAAGTGAGATGAATCATAATTATGATGATGGCTTTAGGAAACTACAACCACATGAACATGTAGCCAAGGATGGCCTTGACTTTCTGGTCCCTCTCCAAGGGATGGAATATTATTAGCCTGTGTCGTCACCATGCCTAGGTTTACGAACTACTGCAGATTGAGTCTGGGGCTCCGAGTATGCTAAGCAAGCACTCTAGCAATTGAGCTAAGTCCCCATTCCCTTTTATTTTTGCAAAGCCTATCTCTGTTTGCCGGACTGGGTTCAAATGATCCTCTCGCGTTAGCCTCCTGAGATGGGGCTTACGAATGGGCACTATTACATGTTGCCTACAATTCCTAATCTTCTGTTGAACAAGGAATTTTGGATTTTCCTTTTGCATCAGTTACATAGCTTGTCCTGTTCTCCCTCTCTGGATACTGAGCCTAGGCTGATTTCTGAGCGATTGTCAGGAAGACATACAGGATAGGGCACGGGCCCAGGTAGGCCTCAAATTGTGTAACACAGGGATTACAGTGTCATTGTTTGTGTATGGAAGAGGGCTCATGGTGCTGGCTCCACCTAGAGGGAAGGCGAGAACCCAAGTTCAACCTTCCCAACTGCAGAGCTGACTGTGGAGTCAGTGCCCTGGAGAGCCAGCCCAAAGGCCACTCTGTGACAGCCACTTCCTGCTCTCAGAGCCCAGGTCAGGACATGTGGCAGCCACTGGCTGTTGACAAGAAGCCACGATGCCTGAGCTTACAGAGACCAGTAGGATGCTTCCTGGACTGGGCAGAGCTGCCTGGAGTGGACAACTAGTCTGGAAGTCAGTGCTTGCCCTATGAGGCTGGGGGAGGGTGGGCGTGGGCGTGTGTGTGTGTGTGTGTGTGTGTGTGTGTGGTTGCTCCCTGAAGACAGATGGTGAGGGACCAGGCTGCCGGTGGGAGGGAGGAGCCTGGGAAAGGCTTGGATTGCTGTGTAACCTAAGCCAGAGACTCAGTCACAGCATCGTGGATCTTGAGCCCCCGACACTGGCAGGTCTTGACCACCGCTAAGGCCCAAATTTCAGCACAACTGTTTTTCTGCTCCTGTCATGTCTCATACTCTTCACTTCTTCTCCAGACTTGAACCTGATTCCCTTCTTCTCTGCCTCCGTTTACCATGTACACGACACACTTGCAGTTCAACCCCAGTGCCCATAACTGGGCTTATTTCCTACACGGCGAATCTTTTTTTTTTAATATAAGGACCCCATCGTTTTATTTTTGCACCGAGGTTCCAAAGCTTTGTAGCCCATCTGCTCACCAGGGCACCGCAGGCAGTGCAGTAACTTGAATAGCAGAGACTGACAAGG